CATCAAAAACAAATGCTAATGAGTTTATTGGCTGTGTAGCTGCAACAAACTGATGATAAAACAGAGGTTAAAATACATAATAATGTAAAGATACATAATAATGTAAGCACTATGTATAATTCCAGCCAATGTATGAGGAGATACCGGGATGCCTATAGATATCATGTGAATAACGCTTTTGTCCTTCGAAAATATTCCAGATCCAAATTGCAATCCAAGTCCCACAAAAAGAGCAAGTCCAAGTCCCAGTACAAATCCCATCTGCATGAGAGGAGACACATCCCAGTTCAGCTAAATTATATGTCTTTTTGAGGAAACTAAAAGTAAAAGGAGGATCTTTTACTGGTTTGACATGCACCAAGAACTTCTATGTTGTGCTAATAAAGTCTGAATTGAACATTAGTGAAAAAAAACTTTAGGAATCAATGGAAGAATAGCAAATCCACTATCTTTTTATGTCATGCAATACGTGGATTAACTGTTGATGCACAGAAAAACGAGACTACATCCCAGTAAAGCTTTAACAAGCTTGTCGTGATAATCTTTACAAGAAAAGTTCTTTTTGTTTACTGAAAATGTGGAAAATTGCTTCGTTTACCTTGAGCATTCTACGATTCTTGATCAGCTATTACAATAATCTCTACAATATGGAGAAGAAAAATGATATTCGGATGAAATCTACCTGTAGTACTCGGGCTGCAGTGGCAGCTGCTTTCTGATAGTCCTTCTCAGCAAATGCACAAGCAAGGATAGCCTGGAAAAGTGGCAAACAGATAAAGGCAGACAGATTCAACCAACTACACTATAAACGATAAACATTGCTACTTGGATTGATTTTTGTTGAATGCACAAACTGATGAAACTCAACTTCAATTTGAAAGATTTGTAACCGAGTTTTGAGTCTTCAAGAAAAATTTGTACAATCTGATTTTTCACTCTGCATCTGTTTCAAAGTCGGATCCAAGAAGGAGGGCAGTCGGTTGACAGTGATTTTAAAACTATGTGACAAACATCCCAATTTCTTTTTGACTTTCTTAAAAGAATAGCTTCAACTTATGGGTTTTCATCCACTACTATTATTCTGGATCTTAAATCTAAGATTTTGGTTTGAAAGTTTACAATGAGAAGAGGAAGTGTAGGTAATCCACCTTCATTAAAGCATTTTTGTTCTCATTTCTGCAGAGTAAAAACTGGCACGAAGTAGATTCTCTTGATCTTATAAATTTATTAA